TGTATCTGTATCTGTATCTGTATCTGTATCTGTATCTGTATCTGTATCTGTATCTGTAACTGTATCTGTATCTGCACCTGCACTTATATCTCAATTTAAGCTTATAACTCTTTCTGTATCTTTATTTACTCAAGCAAACACATTTATGTAAACCCCACAAACATCTATTTTCTCATATCTTCCATTCTTTCATCGCATTTACCCATACTCACTCAGAGTCAGCGTATTCATCTGCTTCTCTAGCTTCATTTGCATTGAAAACCCAACATTTATTTTCGTTTTGTGTGAGTTTCTTCCACAGATTAATGTATTATTCGTTCTCATTGTTTTTGAGTTGCCTTTTTGCCAATTTTCATGCTAATCGGCAGACAGCAACAAAAGCAAAAACAACAAATGCTAACAACATTATCAAATTTAAAGCCCTGAAGTCTGCGACTTCGAGCAAGTCAAATGCCGCCTTTTTGTTGATTGTTGATTTTTGTTGAAGCTCTTTTTTCAGATTTATTAAATGCTGTTACTCGTTTTTATTGTTGCGGAAACGATATGCGAGTGACATTCAAATAATTGGGCTCCATTTGAATACCCTGTATGACGTGACATGTATTTAGTTGTCACTCTCGCGCTGCAAGCTATTTTGGGCTTGACATAAGATTCTATTGGTTCTGCGTATAGGGTATTTAGTAGTCGACTCCTGACGAACACGCATATAATTGGCTCAAGTTTATTGCTGCCTTAGGGTATTTCGAGTTCTATCGTTGCCTTGATTTAGCACAAACTAACTAAAGTACTATTTCACTTTATATTTAAATATCTCGAAGCAAACAAAGTTTAGTGACGTCATAGATACCCGCAGCTCCATTTCATATTTTGTTATTACATTTAAGCTACGAGATTTTGCACACTTCCGATGCAAGACTAAAAATTAATAATAAGGAAAACACTCTCAACAAAATGACTTATAGGTCAACAAATATTCTACCCGCATGAATTCTGAAGGTATGAATTTCTTCTATATATAAATAAATAAAAAAAAACTGAAGTATGATACAAGTAAAAATTTATATGAGCTTATAGGTGCTTATAGAATATTTTAATAATAAAATTAGTATGCCTTTGCATATCGTAAATAATTACGAGGAAAATAAACTATCAACAGGGTATTTCACGACTTACTACTTTTGACATTAGCACACAAACTTGTTGACTTGAGGAGCTCTCACTTTAAGACATTTTCTAGATGACGCCTGAGAGTATGCAATAAAACTATGCGTAGTAAGAGAAGCTCATATTACTCAACTAGAAGCACTTACATTAAGAGTTCCCATATTTTATTTACCATTCAAGCGTATATTATCTGCCAAAATGATATATACATATATTCCGTATACGAGAAACGCAGCCTCAGCCAACGTTCAATTCGCACCGCTGGAGTTTTGGCTGGGGATTATGCGGTTATCTCTGCCTCCGCTAGCCTCCAGCCAGCCTAAAAGTCGGCACTTTCATTATCAAAGCATCAAATATTCATGAATTCAGATTGGGCGATGCCCGGGGCCACGATGCACAGGTGACTGACTGGCAACTCAGCCCCATGGAGTTTACTGAGTAAAGCAACAAAAAAAAAAGGAGAAGCAGATTTGCAAGTGGTTGCCAGGGGATTGCAGGCACTTGCATGCTTATTTTCAATATACCGGACAGATCGGACGAATGTCTGCGCCCCGGGCATGTCATCGCTATTGCGGGGTGGTTTCCAGCCGCTGCAATGCACAACTAAACAAAGCCCAAAGACTGGGCAGGGGACGAACAGAGGGTTGCTGTCAGCTGAAAGCCCGCTTAATCTGCCCTGATTGCGCTTGATATGTTCGAGGCTCGTAATTATGTTTTCTTTCAACTTTGTCATGGGAAAAAAGACCAAATAAAATATTGTATGTAAAAAAATGCTTGAATTGAGAATACCTGACTAGAAGTTAGCCTGTAATCTAAGCCTTACAAAAATGATTCTCTCAGAACTAGTAACATAAAAATCAAAATAGGCTAACAAACAAAAATAATAATCGATTTATCGATTCATATTTAGCGAAATGAAACATGATAATTTGCATAAAATTCTATTTACGAGAATACATAAGATACGATAATAATATATGAAACGAGAATCCGAATATGCTAATATACAGAATTTACATTTGGTAATCTTGCGGCTAATAATGGAAGTGAAAATTGGATATTAATTTATTTAGCGCCACAGAGTTTGGACTGAAGCGAACTGTCAGTGGCCGATAGAGCTTTTAAGATACATATGTTGACCGGCCTTGTATCCAATAACAAACGAACAATGGGAGACGAAGGCTGAAGAGACTAAGCCCAGTAGACTTTAGTAGAATGCCATACAAGATAGAATAGAAATAAACAGAGCTCAAAGGTGATTCACATTAAAAATAAAGAAATTAATTTTTATAAATTCATTTAGCTAGTTTACAGTTTAAGTGTATTTAAATTTATTATAATAATTATAATAATGAAAAGAAATGTCGAGTATGGATATGCTGTTTCCTAAGTTAAGCAATATTCTCTTTTTCAACTGAAATACAGTCGAGTTCCGATAATTCGAAATGACAAAGGAATTAGTTCTTTCGGATTTACACAGAAATTTAAATTATAGAGAATTATTGGGATCGAATCATATTAAAGGGAATAGAATTTTTTTTCGATTTATAGCGATTTTCGATTTAGAGGGCTATAAATTATAAAGACTCGACTATAAATGTATATAAATAATATAAAATATTAAAAAAAAAGTTTATAAATAATAAGGATAGCTAGATAAAAATTTATAATTTATCAGATATAATATATAGAAAGGTAAATAAATCAAATGAAATTTAGTTATAAAAATTTTAAGTTCATAATTTTGCTTGCCCTATTCGAAACTCCAGAACTTAGATAGTCGTCTCTATAAATAATTTTTAATCTAATTGCAGTATTTCAGGAATACCCCTCTTTGAAATGCTTCGCAACATTACAGGGTATATAATAATAATAAGCGACCATTTGACGGGGTTGCTCACAGGGTTAGCTGGTAGGCCACAGTGACAGCGATTCAAAGTAGAAGTCGACGAGTTATAAAGTCAGAAGAACTTTACTCCGGCTGACAGCTAGCCAGTGTTAACAGTTTCCGCTGCTCTGTCGATACAGTTACCCCATCAAGTTTGGCCCAACCGGTGAGTTTTCTGCAAGCGGTCAAAATGAAGCCGTCAAAATGCCAACTGAGCCGACTAATGAGCCACGCATTAAAGCCAAGCCAAGACAGAGCTACAGAGTCACAGCACGAAACAGAGACAGAGATAGAGAGAGTGGGCAAGCAAGATAGGCAGCAAACGCTAATGGGTCGACAGTAATAAAATGCGTTAAGATGAGTGAGGTACCAGAAGCTAAAGAAGCCAACGCTGCACAGTGCCACCAAAGATATGGCAAACGATAGCAATTCGTAGACGAGAATGTTAGAGAACTGAAAACCAGGTAAAACAACAGCAAATGCGAACGATAACAACTTTTAGCATACTGAGAAGCAGGAAATGAAAATGACAGCAAGATTTCTATCATATAAAAAATTTAGTAAACGTAGTTAGTTAGAATGGCAAAATTAAATTGCGAACCCAAAGCCTTGAAGGGTTTCAGTCGATCAGCAAATAAAGTTTTCATGCAGCTACAATAGAAGCTGCCCCACTGTGCGCAGACAGCATTGAAATGGACCAGATACCGAATTTCACCGGCACAGTCGCCAGCGAATCGACCGAGAGTACGGTTCTACAATGATGATCAGGCTGAGCATTCCACTGGGCCAAGTTCTGCTTCTGGCCTTGGCCTTCGCGGCAGCCACTACAAAGAGGCAACAGCAACTCAATGTCGAGCAGCTGCGTCAACTGGGTCTGGGCAACATAATCAACCTGCCCAACTATACCGATCGTAAGTGCTCTCTCTCTCTCTCTCTCTGTCCGCCCGATCTTTGGTTGCGCCTAACTCCTTCCTTCCGACTCCTTCAACAGTGCCTCGTGGCAGCTACGACTTCATCGTGGTCGGAGCTGGCGCCGCTGGCTGCACACTGGCCGCGCGCCTCTCCGAGAACCCCAACTGGACTGTGTACTTGATAGAGGCGGGCGGCGTGGAGAACTTAATGCATCTGATACCGGTGCTGGCGCCCATGCTGCAGCTGACTGCCTCCAATTGGAACTACAAATCGCAGCCGCAGCGTCACGCCTGTCGCGGCATGAACAACCACGAGTGCGCCCTGCCGCGTGGCAAGGGTCTGGGCGGCACCAGCTCCATTAACTTCATGATCTACAATCGCGGCAATCGACGCGACTTTGACTCCTGGGCGGAGCGGGGCAACCACGGCTGGAGCTACGACGAGGTGCTTCCCTACTTCCTGCGCAGCGAGTCCGCTCATTTGCAGGGCCTGGAGCACTCGCCCTACCACAATCACAGCGGGCCCCTCAGCGTGGAGGACGTCCGCTTCCGCAGCAGCTTGGCCCACGCGTATGTGCGTGCCGCCCAGCAGGCGGGCCACTCACGCACCGACTACAACGGGGAGTCGCAGCTGGGCGTTTCCTATGTGCAGGCCAACACACTGAAGGGGCGACGGCACAGCGCCTTCAGCGCCTACATCGAGCCAGTGCGACCACTGCGCAAGAATCTCCACATTCTGACCATGGCTCGGGTCACGCGAGTGCTGATTGACGAGTCCACCAAATCCGCCATCGGCGTGGAGCTGCTGCACGGCCGTCGTCGCTTCGAAGTGCGCGCTCGCAAGGAGGTCATCCTCTCGGCGGGGGCCTTCAATTCGCCGCAGCTGCTGATGCTGTCGGGGATCGGGCCGGAGGATAATCTGCGGGCTATCGGGCTGCCCGTGGTGCAGGCTCTGCCAGTGGGCAAGCTGCTGTACGATCACATGTGCCACTTTGGACCCACCTTTGTGACCAACACCACGGGTCAGACGACGTTTCCAACACGTGTTACCCTATCTGACATTCTGTCCTTCTATCTGGCCGGCAATCCGGCAACGCGTCTCAGCTCCATTGGGGGTGTCGAGGCGTTGACCTTTCTAAAATCGCCTCGATCACGGCGGCCCAGCGATTGGCCGGATCTCGAGTTTATATTCGTGGCGGGCAGTCTGGCCAGCGACGAGGGCACAGCACTCAAGCTGGGCGCCAACTTCAAGGATGAGATCTACGACACGCTCTACAGGCCGCTGCAGCTGGCGAGCCAGGATCATTTCACGCTGCTTGTGATGCAATTTGATCCCAAGTCGGTGGGTCGCCTCTGGCTGCACAACCGTAATCCCTTCACCTGGCCCAAAATCGATCCCAACTATTTCCGAAATGAGGAGGATGTAGAGTACCTGCTCGATGGCATCAAGGAGGCCATCCGCATCACCCAGATGCCAGCCCTCCAGGCACTGGGCACCCGACTCCTAGATCGCCCCGTGCCCGGCTGTGAGCACAAGCTCTTTGGCTCGGACGACTACTGGCGCTGCTCCATCCGCACCATGTCCTACACACTGCACCACCAGGTGGCCACCTGCCGCATGGGGCCAGCGAGCGATCCCACTGCCGTGGTCAGCCCGGAGCTGAAGGTGCACGGCATGCGCAAGCTGCGCGTCGTCGACACCAGTGTCATTCCCCTGCCGCCCACCGCCCACACAAATGCGGCTGCTTTCATGATCGGCGAGAAGGCGGCCGACTTGATAAGAGGCGATTGGCTTTGAGCTTGCAGAGGCTTAAAGCTGGCCGGCGGGCACGATTAGCCGCATGAGTAAATGGGTTAATAATATGCGAGTCGAAAGCTCGCGAGAATGAGTGTGGAGAAGGTAAATAAAAACGAGAACGAGTCCAACGGGTTCTTACCAAATCGAGAGTGAACAAAAGCAATAGAGACGCAATTGTTCTGTTTTGTTTTTGTTTTTTATTTTCTTTTTTTGGGAGGGCAATGATTAATTGGAATTTTGTTTGTAAGTTAAATGAACCCGCGTCAATTAAAAAGTGAAAATGTTCAATAAATTGAGTCATTAAACATACCCTGCACGAGCCTCCCAATGGAGGCACACCCGGCTCTGTAGCATTCATGTGTCGCTTGTCTGTAAGATCCGTATACCCTATGACATTTATGAAATATATTTAATAATTGATGCAATGGATTTGGTATGCCAGTATACAGGTTTATATTATTTATATCTGATCGATACAGGTTTCTATTTATTTCGTGTATTTATCGTATTAGGTTTTTCGGCAAGCCCTTCGGGGCTTCACTCCATTAGAATTCCTTGACCCGTAAACCCCACAGCAATCGGTGGCCTTTTGGGAGGGGGTGCCTCATCGTGTTTACGGGCTATTTAACGCTCGTCTTCACTTGAACTTTATGAGAGGCCGAAAGCAATGCGAATACGCAATTCAGACTTGCTCTGCCGAGACTCGAGAGCCTTGCTCCGATTTATAAAGCGTAATCTCCAAGTGAGTGAGCATCAGTAAAATGTTACTTTTGGCACTGCTAACAACACACCTTGTGGCTTCGCTGGCTCAGCCGCGGCTCATCCAGCAGCTGAGCGAACTGGGCCTTGTCAACTTGCTGGAGCAGGAGCTACGCCCGAATGGTGAGTGAAGCTGAGTCAAACTGAAGAAAGCCCCGCCCTATTGACAGCAACTGTTCGCAGTGCCTCAGGACTTGGCTAGCTACGACTTCATTGTGGTGGGAGCTGGCGCCGCTGGCTGCACGCTGGCCGCGCGCCTCTCCGAGAATCCCAAGTGGCGCGTGGCCCTGATCGAGGCGGGCGGCTTCGAGAACATTGCCCACCTGACGCCCCTGATGGCCGGACAGCTGCAGCTGACTGCCTCCAATTGGAACTATCACTCGGTGCCGCAGCGTCTCGCCTGCTACGGCATGAACAACCACGAGTGCGCCCTGCCGCGTGGCAAGGTTCTGGGCGGCACCAGCTCCATGAACTTCATGATCTACAATCGCGGCAATCGACGCGACTTTGACTCCTGGGCGGAGCGGGGCAACCACGGCTGGAGCTACGACGAGGTGCTTCCCTACTTCCTGCGCAGCGAGTCCGCTCATTTGCAGGGCCTGGAGCACTCGCCCTACCACAATCACAGCGGGCCCCTCAGCGTGGAGGACGTCCGCTTCCGCAGCAGCTTGGCCCACGCGTATGTGCGTGCCGCCCAGCAGGCGGGCCACTCACGCACCGACTACAACGGGGAGTCGCAGCTGGGCGTTTCCTATGTGCAGGCCAACACACTGAAGGGGCGACGGCACAGCGCCTTCAGCGCCTACATCGAGCCAGTGCGACCACTGCGCAAGAATCTCCACATTCTGACCATGGCTCGGGTCACGCGAGTGCTGATTGACGAGTCCACCAAATCCGCCATCGGCGTGGAGCTGCTGCACGGCCGTCGTCGCTTCGAAGTGCGCGCTCGCAAGGAGGTCATCCTCTCGGCGGGGGCCTTCAATTCGCCGCAGCTGCTGATGCTGTCGGGGATCGGGCCGGAGGATAATCTGCGGGCTATCGGGCTGCCCGTGGTGCAGGCTCTGCCAGTGGGCAAGCTGCTGTACGATCACATGTGCCACTTTGGACCCACCTTTGTGACCAACACCACGGGTCAGACGACGTTTCCAACACGTGTTACCCTATCTGACATTCTGTCCTTCTATCTGGCCGGCAATCCGGCAACGCGTCTCAGCTCCATTGGGGGTGTCGAGGCGTTGACCTTTCTAAAATCGCCTCGATCACGGCGGCCCAGCGATTGGCCGGATCTCGAGTTTATATTCGTGGCGGGCAGTCTGGCCAGCGACGAGGGCACAGCACTCAAGCTGGGCGCCAACTTCAAGGATGAGATCTACGACACGCTCTACAGGCCGCTGCAGCTGGCGAGCCAGGATCATTTCACGCTGCTTGTGATGCAATTTGATCCCAAGTCGGTGGGTCGCCTCTGGCTGCACAACCGTAATCCCTTCACCTGGCCCAAAATCGATCCCAACTATTTCCGAAATGAGGAGGATGTAGAGTACCTGCTCGATGGCATCAAGGAGGCCATCCGCATCACCCAGATGCCAGCCCTCCAGGCACTGGGCACCCGACTCCTAGATCGCCCCGTGCCCGGCTGTGAGCACAAGCTCTTTGGCTCGGACGACTACTGGCGCTGCTCCATCCGCACCATGTCCTACACACTGCACCACCAGGTGGCCACCTGCCGCATGGGGCCAGCGAGCGATCCCACTGCCGTGGTCAGCCCGGAGCTGAAGGTGCACGGCATGCGCAAGCTGCGCGTCGTCGACACCAGCGTCATTCCCATTCCACCCACCGCCCACACGAATGCGGCAGCTTTCATGATCGGCGAGAAGGCGGCCGACTTGATAAGAGGCGATTGGCTCTGAGATTCAAGTGCGGCGGTCGAGGCCCTGTGGCTGACGTAACGGCGGAATGGGCTGCAAGCTCGTTGTTTGTCTCGGCCAAGTTAATTAAATGAAATCGCCTAACAGGATAACGGGAGGGCAAGAGGACGGGGGACGAGGGAGCTGAGCTGAGCTCAGCTGGAGCCTGGGGGTTGACCGGCCGCAGAGTGCATTCACCCAGTCCCAAGTAACGAGGGTTGAAATACTTTCGTTTCGACTAGGCACAGCCACGATATACTTATCCAACGGGGTGGTTTGCATGCCGCCAGCCATGAAATAGTCAAAACATGAAAACTGAAACTTGCCAACGGATGCTGCTGGCTGTACCCAAAGCCCAACAGCGAGAGCCCGGCGGAGGCAGTTCGCAGGGGGGTTGCGAATTGTTTAGCTCGCTCGTTGAACGGATGGAACGAGTGCTTGGGGGGAAGGGGATGAGTTGACTTGCAGTCGATGGGGGTGGTGCTTACAAGTGGTTATCAGTATGCAGAGGCAGAGGCAGAGGCAGAGGCAGACGCAGAGGCAGCGGCAGCGGCAGAGGAAGCGGCTGAGAGGGAAACAAATTTCCCATTGTTGTTGTTTGTTCTGCTGTTGTGGTTGTCAGCCTTGTTGCTGGCAGCAAAGCAACAACACTTTCAATATGCATCATCGTGGGGCTATCAGAGGGGGGCCAACAACGTCAATAATCGGGAATGCCCCGAATGAAATCCTATTTTCAGTTGACAGCATTAGTTTTTAAGTACGGATCGTGCATTGATAATTCATAGATAGCAATAAAAGGCCACACAATCTTATCTAAACCTAATTCAATTATATTATGTACAGAAATCAATTCAATTTATTGGCTCACTGAGTGCTCCGGTGACAGGCTGATTGCAGGGTGATTAGCACACGATAGGAAATGTAATAGCTGACCTAATGATAGATTTGCTCGTCTTTGATTTGATTAGTGCTAGCCATATATGTGTATGTACATATGTGTATCTGAAGATCAATTACAGATCTCTAGACTATGTTTCATTATTCTCAGAATAGCTGTTAGTGAGATGGAAACATGACTTGGAAGATTTACTTATCTAGATATCAAATATAAGAGAATGTTTTCCTATATTCAATATAATTGCTCGCAAATTCTTTTCATTATGCATGTCTCTCTCTTTCCTTCACTCACTCTTTTTCTATTTCTCCCTCTGTCTTTTACTGCCTGTTTCTGTCTATCCTTCTCTCAATCTGACTCTCTCTCTCTCTCTCTCTCTCTCTCTCTCTCTCTCTCTCTCTCTCTGTGCCTGTCTCTGTCTATCTTCTCTCTGGTCTTTCTCATTCTTATTCCTTCTCTTTCTCTCTGTTTTACTTTCGCTCTCTTTTACTTTCGCTCTCTTTCTCTCTGTCTCTCTCTCTCTATCTCTACCTCTGTCTCCCTCTCACTCATTCTTATCGATTCTGTTACTCACTCTCTCTCATTTCCTCACTCACTGTATATCTCTCAAAATTCCACAACCTCAAAACAACAATCATTGCTCATAAGGCTTTGCGAATTATCGATAAGATATCTTTTGTATATGAAATTCCGTTTATAAATAGATTTTTGCACATTCATTTATATAAATGTTTATTAAAGTTCTATTATAGACGGTGAATCCCCTCGAGATACTTTAAAGTGTCAACACATCATCACACTTCAGTAAATCTACCCTGTATTATTATTGTAGCGTGATATGCTAAATTTTACAACTCATGAGGAACAGAAAAAGTTTTCAGCACACACACGAAGACCAGATAGTAGCTATATAGTATAATATGTATATATAGTATAATACAAGACATGTGAATAATCTACTCTTCAAAGAGTCCAATAGCTAGTATACCCCACTTGGGCATAATCTTGTTGCGTAGTATGCGAAACAATTTCAAGCTAAGCGCCACAAAGTATGCAACAGAAATTGTAGAAGCTGCCAACTGTCAACAATGCGGACGGGTTTGCTTAATTACTGCGTTTCAAATTGGTTTCCGAGGGTGCAGCAAACAGTTGAATAAATGGCAAGAAGTTTATATACACATGAAGGCATATGAACTCTACTTGATTACTAACTGAACTATGGAAACTCCAAAGAATCTAGAAAACCTAAACACAACAACTACTAGTTGAAGCTCAAAATCCAGTCAGAAATTCGAGAGGTGACTTCGAGTCGGTTATCCATAATGGTTTATTGTAGTAATATATCTTAAGTAAATGAGCTAGTGGTCTCACCTGAAACAATTAACGCCTCATTGGGGCCCGTTGTGTGTATGTTGCCCATGCTGGAAGACTCTGTAGTTGGGGCTGTCCTCCTAATTGGCTAATTCACTTTGAATCCTGTACGTTTGTGTACGATTGTCGGCTCCTCTGGACTCGGCTCGAAGACTACAGCAACAGCGATAAACAACAAAACAATATAGATATACGTACATATATGTATGTGGCGTAAGTAAACAAAGGTGAAATAAGAAACAAAATTGAAGCCCGCTTCAAATCGAATTCAGGCAGGAAGCACTTTTTGTGCCGCGAGTGTTTCCGGTGCCGCCGCAGAGTATGCTACATTTATTTATACTTGCATCGGCACGCTGCGAGTTATTGTTTTCCCATATGTATGTATTTTGTTTTGCTTTTTGCTTTGTGCTTGCATTTACATGTTGGGGCGGCGTCAACAGCAACAGCAACGGCAACGATAACAACTTGTTCTAAGCAATTGAGCATCAAATGTGTAAATCACATTCACACATGCTCCTAATAGCGATTTTATCGAGCTTTTCTGTCCGCATCGCAAAAGTAAAATAAATCGAGAAAAAAAATTCCCCTGATAATTGAATTATTTTATTAAAATTGAATACGGTCGTTACAAAAAAAAAATACAAGCCAAATCATCGCATCACCCAAGCAACGGCAGCGTACGCCAAATAAAATTAGAACAGAAACAACAACAACAACAGCGACGTGTAATGGCGTCCCATTGAACTGGTCTAGTGGCGGTCGCATGACGCAAACATGGAAGCATTTGGGCAGCGCTGCGGCAGCGACGCGAAGTTACTATTGCTGCGAGGATGTTTGACTTGTTTGCGTGTGTGTGTGAGAGTGTGTGTGCGTGTGATATTAAAAATAAGCATAAATATTGAGAGCAAACGCCGCTTATCATGAGCTCATCTTCGACACTTTTTTACATACATATGTATGTACATATATTTTGTTTAGAACAAAAAACAGCACAGCCCATGCAACAATAGAACACGCAAATTACTCACATATATGCACACACACACACACACGCACACACATACATACGAGGAAAAAATAACCCCTAGCGGCCGCCTTTACTTCACATTCTAGTTGGGGTTGCTGCTGTGTGTCAAATTCTTATTGGAAGTAAACAAAAATTTGTATGCATTCTGTTATTGCCTGCTTATTGGTTTCCTATTGACGCCGCCCAATTCAGCAAACACTTAGATAAAGTCACTCTCTGCAGCGATCTACCGGTAATATAAACATACATATATTTGATAATATATATGTGTAAGTTACAAGAAACGCGCGCAAACCACTTCACAAATTTCAGTTTCAATTTCACCCACAATTCCACTACAAAAAAATAAAAGAAAAACAATGGACAGAAGAACAAAATATTGAACAAATGCCGCTCATAGTTGTGTATGCGACAACAAGTAGCACGCACCAATACACACGATCGCAAGCACTTGAATGTTATTTATTTTTATTTTTAACTAATTGGTATGCGCTAGCGAGCAACGAACATTTATTTATTCCGGCACCGCAGAACTCCGCAATCGAATTGGCAATGTTAGATTCTATTTGGCTTATCGTTGACTGTTATCGAAATTGAATGTGACTGCTACCAGTGTGACCAGCCTCTATAAAATTGTTCAAGTTTTGGTATTTAATGCAGCCAGCAAAATTAAATAATTTTTAATGTTTAATTATGCATTAAAATTAAGTCAAAAATATTAATTTAATAACTATTGCTATATAGTCAATACTATAGTCAATACTATCAAATTAATAAAGCTACACCTTCTACTGTAATACGATCATAATGAAGTTTAAGAAGGGAATCCCTGCTGGTGCTAATTACTTGCACGTTTACGGTTAGCTTAAATTATATTTTGATTTTATTTTTTATTTTTAGATACAAACCAAATGATTACAAAGAGATTCTTTCATAGTACTTGTTTATTTTTTTTTTTTATTCAGTATAAACTGGAGTTTTTAAATGTCCCGCCAAAGAATTACAGCGCTTTGTTATCGTCTATCGGTATATTGTCTTTTGCATATATTTCAGCAGCTCAAATGTTGTGAATCGGCAGACAATTTTACGAAAACTAAAAAATGGTCAAAGCGAAGAGCATACCACGTTGTTACCTGTGCAACTGCACATTTAAGGACAATAAGGTATACGAAAACATGTTCGACCAGCGCTACGACGTGGACGGCATTGAGCAGAACACACTAGCCAACATTTTGGCGATGGTCCTGGGCTATCAACTGCAGGAGGAGCAGCTTCACTCCACGGTGAGCATAAGAGAGGAAGAATATCCCTTAATATCGATGTACTCATAAACTCTCATATTTCACAGTTTGTTTGCAGCACCTGCAAGGTGAGCCTGCTCAACTACGAAGCATTGGAGAATCAAGTGCTTGCGGCTCGGCTGGAAATAAAAAATATGCTCATGTTAACACTTGAGCTAAATGAGACTCTAATTACGAAAACGGGGGAGGAGGATGAGTTTCTGGACGAAAACGACGGCTTACTCGAGTCAGACTTTGTCGACGAGGAGCACACAACAGCCACTGTCGAGCATATAAACCTACTGGAACGATGCCCAGATGATATGGACCTAATAAATGAGATGGACGACACGGGCCTGGAAATCAACGAAATAGACGATGGCGAGGCCGACGAGGAAGAGAAGCCGGAAGATAATTTCAAAATGAAGCGAGGTGGTTTGTGTTCAAATTATCTATCACCAGAATAAGTTTAGCTAACGCCAAGTCTTTTTCTGTTCCTCCATAGCAACTGGCAAACTATCGAAGGCACAAGCCAAGAACCGCTGTAGGCATTGTGGGACGACGTTCGGCCGGCGCCAATGGCTGGAGGATCACGAGCGTGTGCACACGGGCGAGCGGCCATACAAGTGTGACCAGTGCAATGCAACCTTTGCGCAACGCGCCAATTTGCGCAGTCACCTGTTGGCCACCCACCAAAATAAGGCGACCTTTCAGTGCAATCAATGCGAGCGCAGCTTTAAACGCAGGCGGCTGCTGGCTAACCACATCAAATCGAAGCACACTCAGGTGCGAGATGTGAAATGCGAGTTCTGTGAGGCGACGTTCGCCACCCCGGAAAATATGATGAAGCATCTGCTGTGCCACACCGGTGAAAAGAACTACAGTTGCAAGATCTGTGGCAAGCAGTTCAGTCGACCCGAGAATCGGAACGTTCATCACTTCGTCCACAGTATTCGGAAGCCCTATGCCTGCGTCGTCTGTGACGAGGGCTTTATGCGTAAGCAGCAGCTCCAGAAGCACATAGCAATTACCCAGCATCCCAATCCGAAGATCGTCCGTCGCCAGCCGCTGTTTAGTGCCGCCAACAGCGACAAGCTACTCCAAAGACCGCTCAGTGAGGCTAACAAATAATTGCCCGATTTCAAATTTGGGCAATTTAGCTAGTGAATAATGTTAAGCAATAGAAATATATTTTTATTATTCGAGATTCAATATGAAATATTTAATTTCAAATAGACTCATACATGTGCTATCTCTTTTTAACTGATGCTAACCAGCCTTCTCATTCACACAAAATCAAATCGTGTTTGGTTGGACTGCGGCAAATGCTTTAAAGGAAACAGTGCTGGACAACGCTCTATGGACGAGATGCTTGTTGGATATCAATAACTGTGTCGGGCTGCCAGCTTACCAAATTAAACTATGTGAATATAATTTAATAATTATTTTTCATTTATAACAATATTGGTATTACTGAATTGGCTCCCGTTGTACTTTAAATGATTCTGTTGTTTTGAGTTTCTGTCTCTTTTCAACTGATGTTTACTATCGTGCTCTCTCTTTCTTACACCAAAATAAACATTCTTGGCTTTTGCTGTCCCAATGAAATTGAAGCTGCACAGTGTTGCACAATGCCCTATGTTATTTGTGCATCGCAGTCAAACAGCTGTTCGCCATATATTAACAGCTGATTATTGACAAACTAAAACGCGTGCAATTTTGCGGCAAACACAATCGGGCAAGCATGCAAAAATGATAAATATAAACTGATGCCTCCACATCAAAACTCTGACAGTCCAAAATAATTAAACTGAAAATTCTGATGAGCTTTATTGCGCTTCAACAAGTTGGTCAATGCCCCCTTGCCATTCAAAAAGCCGCATAGAATAACCTCCCCTTCCCAAGTATTTTAGTTCATCCAACTACACTTTCTACTTGCGAAATTTGACAGTTGGTCAATCTGCGCATTCCTTGCAAGTCACGAATCAAATACAAGTAAAAAATCCTTTATTGCGTGCTATTACGAACGCGCTTGTCGTTTCTATTAAAAAAAAAAGAAAAAAAATCCCATTGGATTCATAGAAGAATCAGTTTTGTATGTATTGGTTCTTCAACAGTACCTCAACTTTCCTCTCTTAAATGTACACACACAAACACTTTGCAACTTGTAAATCAATGTTTGTATTGATGGAAAAAAATTACGGGTTTGGTTTTTTGTTTTTAGTTGACACCGGCTTGGGCGACCGACGGCTAGTGATCTCCACCGCCGCTGCACCCGTTCCAGAACATATTTTATTCAGAACGCAACATCTTCTCCTTCTGACGCTGCAGCTTCTTCTTGGAGAGCTTCTTCTTTGCAGGCTCGTCGTCTGTCGCCTTGGCGACGATCTCCTCCTTCTCAGAAAGGATGACCTCAACGTGGCATGGGGATGACATGTAGGGATTGATGCGACCATGAGCACGGTACGTGCGACGACGCAGGCACTGGGCGCGGTTCACCTGAATGTGATCAACAACCAGACGATCGGCATCCAGTCCCTTGTAGTCAGCGTTCGCCTCGGCATTGCGCAGCAACTGCAGGAGAAATTCGGCGGACTTCTTGGGCCAGCGACCTTGCGTGGTCTTCCACTGCTTAGCCTGGGCGCAACGGCCGACGCCACCGTTGAATCGTCGGAAAGGAACGCATTCCTTCTGATCGATGACGGCCTTGAGGAAACGCTGGGCACGACGCAGTGACATGCGTTTGATGGCCTGCGCGGTCTCGTGGGTATTCTGTGAAGAAAAAAGGCACATTAGATTCTGATATATATATATATGCTTAAAGGAGACGACGTTGGTGTGGGCTTGGCATTGACGTGTGTACTATAGTTGGCTTTGTATCACGCTACAGGTAGAGACGAGCGCATTAAGCGCTGCTCGCCGCTGTTTTAACATGACTGAGATTTACTTTGGACGCATTCGAGGATAAAATAATCGCCAAAATTAAAAGCGATCACTATATAATAGAATGCGCCGTAATTACATTCTTTTCTATTCTATTCAAGACTTCAAACTAAGGATTGGGCGCTGTATCACGCTACAGGTAGAGACGAACGCATCGAGCGCAGATCGCCGCTGTTTTAACATGACTGGTATTTACTGTGGGGAACACTTGAGCTGGATGCACGCAGATGAGATGCGTGCATTGCATTTAATGAGTGCGCCCACACTTGGATATACTAAGGCTGTAGACAAGCGTTTGGAAGAACGCGATTTGGATTATAATCGCATTCAGCTGATAGCTTGTCCCTATAGATGATATTCTAGCAACAATGCAAAAGTGAAAACCTGCAATTATAGCAGAAGTATCACTGATTAATGTTGCGCACACACACATACACGTAACCATGCTTTTGCCGACACTATCAACAACAACAACAACAACTGTTTGGCGTCCGTCGGCATCTTGGAGAGGAATCGCTTTACTTACCTTAAAGTGAACACGTAGATTGGGTCCGCGCGCCTTGCATGACTTGGTGGCGTTATCTGGCTCACGTGAGTAACGGCCCATTATTTAATATCTACAAAATATATAGTAAATACCAATGTTTTAGTCACTTCAAGGAACAAGAAAAAAAAAGTGTTTGTATGTACACAGAAAAAAAAACACAATTTTCATAGCCAGCTGGCAACAGTTTGTATTTGCATTTGTCTAGCAATTTTGTGCACAAAGCATTTAACACTTAATAGTCGTTATTATTTTTCGCGTTTTGTTGATATATACTTATTGTATTACTACGATGTTTAAAAATTTATTAGCGGCTTCGCCAATTCAGCGTACCTCCTTCGTCGTGTACGAAACCGGAAAAGAACCTTTGACAGCGAATTGGTGGCCATGCTTGATATGACAACAAATCGGTATCGAGAAGCACAACACAGTGTTGCACAGTGCGCGTGTATGTGAGTGGCTATCGTTTGTAGCTATCGCACACAGTGTTGCATTGCAGTCTCATAGCAGCGAGCTTTGCGGCGCGTGCTCTAATATTGAAAAAGGGCGCGCATTTTTCGTAACTTGATTGAAAATTCAAACAGCTAAATTGAAGGCAATTCATGTAGCAGTCGCAACATTTTGTTATCATTTCCTTCCGCAGCGAGCACATTGTGCGCATATACAAAAACTTGCGCAAATTGCTTATGAGTGGTACTTGGCACAACCATAAAACGTTATTCATTTAAGCTACACTCGTTTAGTTAGTTGCTTCCCCACAATTTCTTTATTACAATTCTGCCATTTTCATATGTACTTACAATGCAAATTAATTGAATTAATTCAATTTGCTGCCGCAGCGTTTTGTTGATTTTACTTCTTTTCATGTATTCGCTTTCACCTCCACCTCCATCCCCACATACCATCCCTCACTAGGGGCTGCTGTTCGAATATATCAAATCAAATCAAATCCTACCCATACACATACATATGTATGTATGTGTGTATATATATAAATATAGTTATATCTATAAGTTTAGCATGTGCATTTCTTGTCGCGCATGTGTGTGCCTAGATATTGTACATAAATACATATGAATGTTGAAATCCTAAATGCTACTTCATGTAGTAGTACTTAGTTAGTCAGTGCGCATACTTGATTTAATTTCGCTGCTTTGACTTTATTGAAATATCAAATAATTCGAGCAGCAACAACAACACTTGAACAAAATAATGCAATAAATGTTGTGGCATATAATACAAAAGTAAATTATAAGATTTGAGGCGTCTCTTCTTGTTGCTATTGCTGTTGCTTTTGTTTTTGTTGCTGGCCTCTTGAGCCGCGGATCGGATCGGATCGGATCGGATCCGCTCGCATCGACTTAGCTCGGCTCTCAGTTATACGGGCCAGGCTGGGCTGGGCTGGGCCGGGCAACGCCAACGACGACGACGACGACGACGACGACGATGACAACAACTGAGACAAATCTAATTTACATGATCGCTCGCATTATCGTCCATTGTATTATAATCATTTTAGCCAGCGACGGCGACGGCGACGGCGACAGCGACGCCAACGATGACGGCGGCAGCATCGGCAGAGACGTCACCGTCGATCTGCGTCTGTGCCTGCGCCTGCACAGCTAACCCCGCCCTCATTGTTGCTATTGCTATTGCTATTCCTATTGTTGCTGTTGTTGTTGTTGGGGCTGTGGCGAGTTCAGCGGTTGGCGCTTCCTAAGTGGATGACACTCAAGCTCATTGAGCGCTCCAATCTGGCGAATCGGCGGCAGTTCGGAGGCAAACGGAACAGCAGCAGCGCTGCTGCACCTAGCTATACAGCAGCCGCAGCAGCAGCAGGCGTAGCAGCAACAAATTATAATACGAGTAAACATAATACAACAACAACAGCAACAACAACAGCAACAAAAGGCAATCGCAGCGGCTCTCGCACAGCGCACTAAACAATGCGAAATATCTGAATCAGAATATTTTTTTCGTTTTCAATTTTGGTGCCCAGTTTTAAACTTCAAGCCGCGACATTAACACACGAAATCTGCGATTATCCGTGCAAATACACAGATCGAATTGTCATAAATAAATATATATACATACACCTATATACATCTATATATACATACATACATATTTAAATATATGCAATTCAATAAGCTATCACGCGGCCCAGCTCTCGCCCCCTCTCTCTCACACTCGACGCATGGCACACATGTTGCCCTCTCTCTCGCTCGCTCGCTCTCTCTCTCTCCCTCTCTCTGTTTTCGTTAATGTGTTGTAATTGAAGTAATACTTGTTGCTTTTTTTTTTTGTTTTTGTTTATCGGAACTGGCGAAGCGCGTTTTTGGAGCGTGAAAAACAACGCGAAAACAAAAACAAATTCAAATAAAAAAATTTTATAAAAAAAAAATATAAGGAATTTGCCTCAATAATTTCGAGCGCCTCGTAAAAATCCAACCGTAATGAAAATATTTAGCGAACCCGAAATGCAAATAAAGGAAAGTTTTCAGCAAATAAACAAATAATCGACATTCAAAAATAAATCAATCGGAAGCTAATTACATTTATCGATAAGCGGCGAAAAAAAGTGCGCCTTAATTGAGTCGAGGAAACTTTTCAAGTTGTAAATCATCGCAATCAAATAAATATTATTAAACAAAAGGAGAAGAAGAAGAAGAAGCTGAACCCGAAAAA